CATGACTGCGGAGCTAAGCAGTGCTGATGCATGACCGCGGAACCAGGCAGCCCCCATGCATGATTCCGGCGCCGGGCGCGCGACTGACTCAGCCTCCAAGCAGCTGCATGCCCGCCGCCGGCGGAGGAATCGGCACCCACCTGAAATTGCCGGCGATGTCCTGCACCTCCATGGCGGCGGCCAGCAGGCCGGTGGCGTAGCTGCGCAGAGGCTCCGGGGCCGACTCGGCCCAGCCGAACAGCCGCCGGATCAGGCTCTCGGCCTCCTGTCGGCAGGTCCGCCGCGTATACGCCGCCGCCGACACCGCACGGGCAAACACGGACATCAGTGGCGACAGTGGTGACAAACACGGACGCCAGCGGCGACAGTGGTGACAAACACGGACATCGGTGGCGACAGTGGTGACAAACACGGACGTCAACGGCGACAGTGGTGAAAAACAAGGACATCAGTGGTGACAGTGGTGACAAACACGGACGTCAGCGGCGACAGTGGTGACAAATAGGGACATCAGTGGCGACAGTGGTGACAAACAGGGACATCGGTGGCGACAGTGGTGACAAACAGGGACATCAGTGGCAGCAGTGGTAACAAACAGGGACATCAGTGGTGACAGTGGCGACAAACAGGGACATTGGTGGCGACAGCGGCGACAAAAAAGGACATTAGTGGCGACAGTGGTGATAAGCTGAGGCATCAGCACAGGCCGCCGACCACGCACTACCCAGCGGCGGCAGACCGGTCCGGCGGCGGGTCACCCACACGACCGCACCACACCGTACGCCACGGGCGGTAAAACCGCATTACACAGCCGCAGACGGACGACATCGCCATCGCCGTCGGTGCCTGTCGCCTGCTGGGTGCCCGCCGTGGTGCGGCGCGCCGGACCCACCTGGAAGACGACCGACGTCTCCAGACCGGCCATGATGTCCAGCAGGAGGCGGGCGGCGTGCGTGTTGAGCTCGGTCGGGTCACGCGACAGGCCGGCGGAGCGCGTCCAGAAGTTCTCGCGCGTGTAGTCCAGCACCAGCTGCAGGGGCGGCAGACACGTGCGGTGAGCGACAACAGGTGGCAGCCGAGCAGACGCGTGGCAGGGTAACACCGACGTCACCAAACAGAGTGAAGTAACATCAGCTTGCTGGCAGATGCATGCATGATAACTTACATGGCTGTCGGTGATTTTTTATATTTCTGTGCCATCCAAGGCTTTATGAATGCTTTTTTCCTTTTGTTCCCAATACGGCTTTGTATTGCACGCAAGACCGAGCAAGATGATTCACGAAGAAATCCGAAAGCCAACTTAGTAAGCAGACATCATGAAAAGCTGTGAGGAGGCTGCTGTTCATGCCTTGTCCATGAAGCTGTCCTTTTTGCAGATGATCTTGAAGAGCTGGCCCAAAGTGCACAGTGGATTCACCCGGGTCGGGTGGCGCTCATCGAACGGGTCCGGATCTGTCTTCAGGTAGTTGTTGTTCTCCTCCTCCACTATCTCGGCTATCCTGGTGACGCAACAGCAGAGTTTCGAACACAACGGGCCACCATCACACAGCGGTTGCACCATCAACACACTGCCACATATGATTCATAAAACGTAGGCAGTGGTCCGACATGGGAACATCAACAGTGGGTCTAAACAGACCATTCAGTAATAAATGTGTTAGGACCAAGCTTAGCGTTTAGGTGAGGTGCGTTATCGACGAAGAACGAAGTCAGCTGTTTGTGATGTGCGGTAGACGATGTAGTTTGTTGTGCACCACTTATGCCTCAGGTTTTGTGAACAGCTGGTTTCAGGGTCGGCAGACGAAACGGGAAAGTGTTGGCCAATAGGCGAGCGCGTGGCTTTCCGCGGAGGTCTGCAGAGCTGTCCGAGGTGATGTGGGTGTCCGGCGAGTTTTCGCGAGAGAGTTCGCGCTGGTCGGCGTTGGAGGAGGCACGTCGTTAATAGAAGGCCCAAGGCAGAAGAATATCGGAGTTTCTTTTCTCGGAAGGGTAACGCAGGACGGCAGCTACCAAGTTAACGAAGCGTTACAAATGTCAAAAAAGCATGGATTATATATATATATATATATATATATATATATATATATACCTATACATACCATAAACATTATACATTATATCCAGTGAAATTTCAGGAATTCAATGATAACCACAGTCATCCCAACACAAACATGATACTTTTACTGCCCACGTAGCAGCTGTTGGGTGCTGCTGAGCATGGCAGGGCAGCCAGCAGCCACTCCCGCCCCCCATACCGTCTGATGGTGGGCGTTGGATCCCAGCTGCTGTCCCGAATGCCATCCTCCCAAGCCTTGATCAGGTCATTCAGCTCGCTGATGGTCTCAGCGTTTGGTCCTGCGCCGGGCACCATGTTGATGGCAGGGTAGGTCCTGGAATGGGGACAGCTGCGGTTAGATACTAATCCTTACTGTCATGTTTGCACTAGTTTCAGTGAGAAGTGAGGTGAGCCTGCTCAAGCAAGTCAGAGACTCAACTGGCATGGCCTTCAGAAACAAGTAGGCACATGTTCTGCCACAGTCTGCTGTACCTTGCTTCACAGATAAGGACAGATGGGCAATACTGACCACAATGTCAAACTGAAGCACTGAGCATGAGCAGATAATAAATGTGATAAACTAGCATTTTCTAGCAATGATTTGATTGTCACAGGTGATCACTTGTATACTTAGTCATGTTTTTGGCAGACCTGTTTCTACAGACCCAAAGACATGAGCACATATGTAATGCAACTAAGGTTGTTACAATGGTGGGCATGGAACCAGACAAGTGATGGCAAAGATGGCACAAAACAGAGGGACCAGCCAGGTGGTGATAGAGATGGCAGATAGCATACAGACAGCAGAGATGGTACATAGCAAAGGGACCAGACAAGTGACAGCAGAGATGGTAGGCGGCAAACAGTAACTAAACACACTTCCAGCACGCTTCCAAGACAGAAGGTGCAAATCCCAGGGGAGGTAAAGCTCAAATGTGGTATAAAAAATAGGGTCAGTGCATACGATAAGTTTTTTGTTATGCAATTTAGTTTTGAACCATAGTAGGTTGCACATGGCTTAAACATAGGGGAAAAAGCTCTAGTTCAGTCCCATCCACCTTCAGGCCTTTACCTAAAAGTCTGAATCCAAGTCATGAACACCTTAAGTACATCTTTGGCTGGTAAATACCTGCACATTAGTGATATCATCATGCATAATGTTTCACAACAAAATAGCCTAGCAAGCTTGACCAATAGAATATGCTTCATGATATCACAAATACAAGTCAGCCACCTAAATATCACTGAATAATGCTATTGAAAGATATTACAAAACATGAAATGGCACATTACCATCATGTTTTGTTAGTTATCTGATAATAACAGTTAACATTTGATGTGCAGCATCCATCCACACAGTTGCAAAAATACTTCCTGCACCAAACATGTCTGGCATACTGGCAAAATCTCAGCATTCATTTTGGTGCATGTTTTTTTATAAATCTGACTGCCTTAGTTTATACATGACACTTAGTCACTTTATTCAGTGAACAGAAAGGCAATGTTATGAATCTTGTAATGGTAATTGTAAACAAAAATCCCCATTTCAATAAGCACTGTCAAGACCAAGGTGAGCTAAGTGCTCAATTGCACCAGGTTTAGTGCACTGATGTTACCTGGTACAGTGCATACATTCTTAAGATAATGGTGTCAAGCAGTTCTTCTATACATGATGCAAGGAACAAATTGGGTAGGTATCAAATCAATACCCTAATATGCATGCATTTTCACATTTCATCAACAGAAATACAGTTGATACAGTAATGCCACAGCAAAGTGCCTCTAATCTATATACATTTTCAGAGTGAACTGTTGTTCTTTGGTGATTACAAAGTTTCAAGCAGCTGAGGTTGCAAAGCATCACCTGACATTCACCCTGTCAGGAAAATAAAACCAAACCAAAATCCATGCCTCTGGTTTCACAAATTCACAGCTTGACCACTCTATCACTGCCACCTGTATAAGCCATAGGCTGCTCTGCTCAAAGACTACCTGCCTAATACCTACAGCTGCACTCTCAGTATTGACAATGCTTCACCTTTGCCTTGTAACATGCAATATGGCATACTGTGCATGCCTGCGCATACCTGTGGAAATAAAACAAGAACCATTCTTTGAAAAAACTCATCAGTTTCAGAATCAAACACGTCTTGATAATCCCAGTACTCGAACCATGCAGCAAAAATAACTGCATGCCTGATGAATGACGGAGCGAAAACAAGACCAAACATGTACCAACCTCTCGATCTCAATGTTAATGGAAGTATTTGATCATATAACTATGATGATCGCACATCACGCTGTCCCCTGCGCAATAGCCACTTGGTACTCGTCCGACGGATACAAAAAAAACTCTAGAAAATCCGTGACGCTGCGCGAAACAACCGCAGACCAACCAGCGTTACACGGTGCACACTATTGGCAGTTTGCGCCAAGATCGCCGAGACGGAAAGCGCAAAGCCAGAGCACGTTTGAGGGCTAGGAATCACTAAAAGACTGTCTTATCCAGCTTGACCCCTGCAGTATTTTTCTGAAAAAAATATATGCATCGACTTCTGAATTGCGTTGCGCTGCACCTTAAAATCGATCAACGAATGTATGCACATATTCGAATAAATCTGGTTATTTAAGCCATTTTGTTTCAATTATTGTGAATATAATTCATACTTGATGAAAGAAGGATCGCGCAGAATAACAATTTTAGGCATGTACTTTGATATACTTCGAGCCTTTTAGGCTAAAGATTTACAAATTCAGGTATTGATAGGGCTTTGAAAAATTTTAAGCCAAGAATTATGAGTTGAAATAAAGGGAATTCAACATAAGGTTTCTTGACCCGCCGAACTACCAGCATTCAAATTTAGTCTGTCTTTTAGTCACAGCACTCTCAATGGTAGCTATGACAACTGCGGCTCCGTCAACCAATAGGAGGAAGCGTCACTTCCACATCATGCCTACTCGGCTGATTTCGGCCTTTGCTGTTAACATGGACACGTTCAATATGTTTGTCCTACTTTTGACCATTTCTGCTGTTTTCTCCGTAAAAGGGGATGCGGTCCACAGAAGATTTGAATATAAGTATGGGTTCAAACCCCCATACCTTGCCCAAAAGGATGGGACTGTTCCATTTTGGGAGCACAAAGGAAGTAAGTGGAGCTATCAGACCATGTGGGCGTCCCGCTGTTACTGTATACCAGTTTGTCGGTAGTGGGCGTTAATTGGTATCGGCTTGCGCTATGTGCCCTAATGGGAGACTGCTGTGTTCCACTATTGTTAACCCCTGTCAGTCACTCGGGTGGCCGGTGACATAGTCTGGATGCAGAACAGTTGCCAGCTCTCAAGTAGGTACTTATCTACATAGCCTAAGTCAATTGCTACAAAGGTATGACAGATGTGAAAGTATGTATTGAAAGATGGATATTGGATGCTTCAGACTTGTGAGATTTCTCAGTGCCAAGGGTGATATGTGTAAGTCACATGGTCCAGACTGAAAAAGCACTTGTCAGCATTTGATGTGCCTTCCAGACAATGCTAGTAGATAAAAAAGATGGTGTATTTGAGATGCAGAATGGACGGATTAGAGCATGGATGCACATGATCATAATATGCCTTAAGACACGCTGTATCTATCTAACAGTATAGTGTAATAGTGTAGTTTAATCCTTTCAACCGCAGACTTGTTTGCCCATGTTATGTCGGGACTGATTTGGAGTCTGAATTGCTTGCTGTGGGTATTTGCATATGAGAATCATGTATCAGACTGAGTTAGTGATTACAACCCACTCTGCAAGACGAGGTAGAGTTTCACAAGATCTTGCAAGGTTGCTCCAGACTGGCAAAAAGTACATGTTGTCCCAGCCATGTCTGGTGTTACCCTGGACATATCTGGTGGGACACATATGTCGGGTACAGCAGGGCTAAGATAGCATATGTCACAGCCACAATTTCATCCTGCTATATTTGAGCCTAAATTCCTACCCTACTGTTTTGCACATGGTGCTGCCAACTTCACAAATATCAAGTCAATATTTGAGGGAATGATGATGCTGAGATGGAAATTTTATAAAAACTTACTACAAAGCATTTTTTGGTGTCAAAATCATTAAAATTCAGGGCAATATGTCCTGCAGGGCTTGGCACTTATGAGCATGAGGCTCAGCACATTGATGTTGCCTAGGTGCATCACACAGTGGATATAATTTTTGCTGGCTGGGAGTTACTTTTAAAATTGTGTGGCCAAAATGTCTCATGTGGATTAATGCCATAAGGAAGCTGTGCTACTTTTCAGATGAGCAGAAGGGCAAAGGTTACTGGCATGTCCTCTGAATGGAATAGTGCCATATCTTGGTGGGACTGTGGCCTTTGATGAAGTAGATCCATCACTTCTGTCATGCCTGCGTGATGTATAGTTGGTACTTTTCTGATCTCCAAAATATTCTGGCAAAAAAGATCCATGCAACATTGTTATCACAAACCTAAAATTGCTACCATCCTTGTTAAGAACATATGGTGTCAGAGCATAAGAAATGTAGTACAAGAAATGTGCCTTGAACTGTCCAAGTATAGCAGTTCATATGGACTACTACCTGGTGGTTCAAAGCCAAGTGGCTTAAATCTGGTGGCAAACTTCATGTTAAGGTTAGGCTATCTTAGCCCAAGCTGCTATAAGTGTAGCAGCACTACCTTGGCAGAGATGACTCACTACTTAGAGTAGGGTAAATGCTGTCTGAGGCATGTTGCAACTGTTTGCACTGCAGACTGGCACATGACTAAATGTGGACATCTTGTGGTGTATTTTGTGGTGGGCTTTAGGAGAAATATTGGCACTGGGAGCTGCATACTAACATCACATTGTAAAGCCATAAGTTTTATGTGGTCAATAAGGTTTTTAACTTAAATGCATCTCAGGCAATGCCTTCCCCTGAACTTTGCCTAAAGATACAGGTATCAGCAGGGCTTGATAAGCCCTTGGATGCCTTGGGCAGGCCTGTGTATGACACTGCTTCAATGTAATGGATCCTGACTCCAATTCACAGTGTAGGGGATTGATTTTGTCTGATTCAGAAGAGCAAAGCATAACTTGTTTTCAGCTCTGATTCTGACTCAGATGCTAATGGTGCAATTATGGAACTGATTCTGATGTAGGGGTTTGAATTCAGTTTTAGTTTGAATTCACTCAGTCAGCTCAGGTAGTTTTCTAAGGTCCAGTCAAGCCTTTTACTGGATGGACTTCTGGGATCAGCATCCACAGTAAGCAGTACTTGATGCATGAGCCCAGACCCCACCACATGGTCATGCAATTTTGGGTTGATGGCATAATTTTGAGGCAGAAGCTGAAACATGCTGCAATGCTTGGCACATTGTGTCCTGTCCTCTGATGTCTTCTGACCTCTAGCATGGCAGCCCCCACTGGCTGAATGCCATTGTAGTTGGGAAGGTATGGCGAGCACCTGACGTGACCAACTTATCCCACCACATATGGGCGAATCAGAAGGCAGGCACATTAACATATCCCACCACAGGTGGGTGAATCAAAAGGCAGGCACTCTAACTGAATGAGCTATTAGGACAGAGTTTGGGAACTAAACTGCTCTCTAAATCTCCATAGACTTCATAAACTCATTGAGGATGCAAAGCCAGCCGAGATAGCTATACATGATGGTGTTCCATATGTCTGGAGTTAGAAGCTGTTTAATGCTGTATTTTGCTCTGGCATTTATGTTTGTGGTGGTTTACTGATGATTTGGTCTATGCTGGCAAAATTTTAAATAATTCCCTCCTCTCCAGATTGAATGAAAGCAAACTGTCTGATGTTCTGAACTGAGCCCCTGCTCCACCATATCTAAGCAGTGCCCATTGTAGGGACCAAATCACCCAAAAATGCCTGCAAAGGACTAAAACAGCAAGCTACTTGTATTTCTGTCAAACTGTTGTATACAGCCCTCATGAATTTATGAAGCTGTGTTCATATTTTGTACCCAGCCCTGATGGATTTTGTTGGGATCTACTAATTTGCAGCCTGCTGCAATACTAAGTAGATGATTTACTCTCTTGCAGCACAACTCAGACTGCTATTAATGGTCCAGTAGCCCACTGCATTGCATTGCATCCCATTGCAGTTTAACCTTTTTTGAAAATGCTCATTTTGAGCACATTTGACGTGTCTTACGTTAAGGCGCTAGCTCCATATGAATCAAGTTTCATTTTTTTCTGGAGACTTAATGTGGCAGCATGTAGGAAAAGTGCTGTGCTGTGCAAGATTGTGTACATGTGAGTGCTGATTTGGTCCATTAGAGTGGCTCAGTTGGTTAGAGCACCGGCCTTCCGATCCACCGACCCGTGGTGGGGTGGGTTCGAGTCGCTTAGGCGCTCGCTATTTGGCCTTGACAGGTATGACTTGCGGGTGGTGGCAGCTGCCGTGCTAAAGGTCAGTTAATGTCAGAGAGCAGGACGGACCGTGCGGAACGTGGTGGCACGTTACACTTTCGCCGCGAAATTCTGCCGTTGCCTTTGAATGGTGCAATCAGATGGTGGGGGTCAGACGTCATAGAACAAGCACTGCTCAGTGTGACCTCTGATCTCAGAAATCCATCCGTTCAGAAGGTTCGGATTAATTTTTTCTCATGTGTCCAAGACACCAACCCTGTGGTCTGATCTTCAGATACCATTGCCAGCCCAGACAATGTGAGGGTGACGCCTTCTCTGAAGAGCCAAAAGGGAATGATCTGGAACAAGAACCAAGTCACCTTCAAGTGGTGGGAGGTCGAGATGTGGTTCCGTATCACGGGCCGGGGTCGCATCGGTGCTGACGGCCTGGTGAGAACCTGATCCTCTCCGCTCTCCTTCTTCTGCTGTGCAATGTATCCCATGGATGGTGTGACAAATAGTTAAACATCGTTGAGTGTGTGCATATATGTGTGCGTTGACCTGCAGAAATATTCAGTGTCCACCTTGGTATGTAAAGAGTATCTTGTGTGATGTGTGTAGCTGCAGAGCGTGACGATTCAGAGCGTCCTGGTGAGCTCGGCAGACCTGCCCACTGACGGTGCTGCCTGTGAGGTCGATGGCCTGGCGCTGACCCTGCCGATGCTCCAGGCGATGTGGTACACCACCGAGCGGATGGTGGACGGTCCCGTGTTCGGCTCCAAGGATAAGTGGAACGGACTGGGCGTCTTCTTTGACTCGTTCGACAACGACAACAAGCGCAACAATCCCTATGTGTCGGCCATTGTCAACGACGGTACACAGGTCTATGACCACGAACGGTGAGAAACACCTTTATATAGGTCCTCTGATTTCGGGTTGTACGGCATTGGATGCTGCCCACGGTGGTGACGTTCGCAATGCCATGGGCTACTCCGTCTCTAAATAGCAGTGCTCTGTAATGCATAGAGTTGGCAACGCCGCCAACTGAACTTAGTGCATTCCCCAACGATTACCCTTGTGTTTGTAATGCGGATGCGAATAAGCGGTCAAGAAAACGCGCTTACCGGAAAACCGGCGGCAGGTCGCCTGACCGTCCGGGTCGATGTAGTAAACCAGGGGCTGACGCCGCAGTCGCGTTTCAGCGACGGCCAGGGCCAGATCATCGGCGGCTGCCTGCGCGACTTCCGCAACAAGCCGCACCCGGTGCGCGTGCGGGTCACCTACCTCAACAGCGTGCTCACCCTGGAGATGCACAACGGCATCACCAACAGCGACAAGGACTACGAGCTGTGCTTCCGCGCCGAGAACGTGTACCTGCCCGAGAACGGCTTCTTCGGCCTGTCGGCGGCCACCGGCGGCCTGGCCGACGACCACGACGTGATCAAGTTCCTCACCACGTCGCTGGCGACCAACCCGCAGGACATCAAGGACGAGCGCATCAGCGAGCAGGAGCGACAGCGGCTCAAGAAGGAGTTTGACGATTACCAGCAGAAGACGGAGCAGGCCAAGGCTGAGTGCGTCATTCCTCGTGCTAGTTGGTGGCAGGGGGCGGTAGGGGGGAGTAACAAGGGGGACGAGGGAGGCGGTTTCACTTATAGCGTAGACGTTACTGGCGAATAACGCTGGCCTGGCAGTGATAGTTTGGACGGCAAATTGCGTCCATCTGAGGCACTGGACATTTAGGCTTATGCTTCTAGTTTTACTTTTTTCTCATTGTTTTATGCCATTGCAAGATTACTGCACTTCAGTGATTAATTTTTACGTCATGATCACAAATGCCTTTCGCCCTTTTTTTCGTTCAAGAGAACTAATGCAATTTTGAAGGTGACTGCTCTCTCACCAATATTGTCAAAGGAACTGCAGATGGGTAAAGGGATGTAATGTCACTGGCATGACTAGTTCACTCCACCCTGCTGACCCAGGCCCACTTGTGTTCTCGTACCCTCCCGATTACGCCAGCCACGGCGTGTGCATGTGATCGTCTCGGGTGTCAGCACACGTGTCACATCACGTGCCAGATCGAATAGCATGAATCACCGCACTGTCCTCAGCTGGGGCGCCCCGAAGCCCAGCCGGCGCACCTCCTGCCGCGCCCACGTCAGCTAACGCGCCGCACCCGCCGCCAGCTACCAGCGCCAGCACCCGGACGCCAAGAAGGACGACGAGTACGATGACGAGTTTGACCCGGAGACGTCGCGCGAGCTGCGTCAGATCTTCGACGGCCAGAGCCAGATTTACGAGACGATCCGCGAGATGCACCGCAAGATGGACGAGATCATCGGCCGCCAGGAGCGCACGCTGAGCGCGCTGAGCCAGCGGCCGGCCGGCCAGCCGGCGCCGGCCGGTCAGCCCCAGCAGGCGGCGCTGCCGGCCGCTGACTCCATCCGGCGGCATGAGGTGGACGCCGTGCTGAACAACCAGCGCGAGATTGTGCAGGCGGCCCGTGAGATCAAGTGAGTGAGCGCTGCCAGGCGGCCGTCGGTCGGCGTGGGGTTCGCGATCAGGTTGTACCGGGGCCGTGGGGAACTGTTCCTTGAGTCAAGTGCAGGAGGAACATGCAGCCTGGGTGATCATCTGGGTGTAGAGTCAAGGCTATGTTAGTGAAGATGCGCAATTTATAGCACCTTGTCTGAAATGAATGAGCGATGAGTTGATCGTGGAAAGAGCGCGGAACATGGGGGGTGTTGGAGGTGCCGTGGACAATTGTTCCTACGTCAGTGTGATTCTCCACCCTGATCCAAAACATCGAAGGTCGGACTGCACCGGCGGCACCGAATCCTCGCGCCTGCCGTCACCCTACGCTCGTCCGCAGGAACTTTGTGGGGGAGATCAACCAGCGGTCACACACGATCCTGCAGAACCAGCAGAAGCCGGTGGGCACGGTGCAGCAGGCGGGTGGCGCCGGCGGCGCATTCGAGCAACAGAAGGTGGGGCGGCACGCTGACGTGGTGCGCTCGTGCGCCCGGTACTGCCAGCCACGCGGTCACGCAGGCACGCGAGGCACGCAGCATGTATTTTGCCTCCATTACGGGCTTGCAACCGATTTAACACGACGGCGTGTGCCGGCGCGGTTCCATTTGGTCTTCCGAGACTTGGGGTGGCCATCGGGTGGCTGTGTTGAGGCCATCTGGTGGCCATTGGCCGCCTGGTGGCATTTTAAAGAAACTTTGATTTTGTGGAAAAACAGCAGCATATCGCACGCAGTATAATCTTTGCATGTGTGGTGGAGCCTCCAATCTTGGCCAGAGTATCAAAATTCAACATTGGTCTTCGGTGGAAAATGTTAACGGACTATTCAGACTCAAGTTTTGGACATTTCTTATTTTTGGTCTCCCATTTATGTTCGGAGTGTCCGCTGACTTTGGTCTCCTTCGTAGCTTTTGCAACTACAATTCGATCTCCATGACACCTTTTGCTGATGCGGTATTGAAACAATGATCTCAGCTTATATGTACAGACATAAAAGCCCCTCTTCTATGCACGGACAGTGGTCCTTCTGTAGCGTGTACGTCACGCACGGACAGAGCAGCTACAGCTCCTATGTATGGACGCAGTGGTCCCTCTTTGGCGTTTTACGTCATACACAAACAGAACAGTGATCACCCAGACATGTGCCGGACATGCTCAGGGAGTTGCAGGTTGGTCGTGTGGATGAAGTTCCCATAAGCCGCAGCACCTACACGACTCCGGTTAGCCGAGGCTTGATCTAGGTTCGATGGTCGCTGCACCCTAAGTAGTTTGTTGGTTAGATCTTATTAGCACGACGGCAGAGCCCCCGAAATTTTACCAACCGATCTAGCATCATTCGCAGGGGGTGGGGGGCGGTAAGGGCGGGTTGGTGTCCGAACCCTCTGACTGGATAAATGCTTGGGATCAACACCCACGCTAAGCGATGCTTGTATAATCCGCGTTCCCACCACCCGATTTTGAAGTGGTATGCCAACGGCATTTCACGGTGAAAGCGTAACGAACCGCACTGCTCGGGTCGGTTTGTCGCGCCCTCTGACGTCATTTGACCTTTAGCGCGGCGGCCGTCACCGGCTGCACGCCATTGCAGTCAGGGGCAAATAGCGATCACTTCGAACGACTCGAAACCACTCCGCCACGAGTGGGTGGAGCGGGAAGCCGGCCGTCTAACCTACCGAGCCTTTTGCACCGATGGATGCAGTTTATTGCCGTTGCCCCGGCTGGTAGATGTGTTCGCTCGCAGTTGTGTGAGGTACGTAGTTTGGACATAATGGCGTGTTACCACCGACGGATTATTGAATCGACGATCCCTTCAATTAGGCCGAATTGCACGTGCATAGTCGTACGTCTCATCAGCGACGACCAAGTGGCATGAGCGTCGTGGGTCGAGCAGCCGGCGCGTTTCCCGTGCTGACATTACCACAGTGGAGGTGTAGCGGCGTTCCCTCAGCTGTTGGCTGTGGTCTCTCACCTGTGTAACGGCCTCCGTGCCCCGCCCAGGTGATGAACGAGCTGCGGGACGGCCTGAACATGGTGAAACGCGACATGAGTATCACGGCACAGCGACTGCAGCAGCAGCCGCCGCCGGCTTGTCCCTCCGGCGCCGGCGGCTGCGTCAGCGTCGGCGTGTTCGTCGGCGTCGTGCTCGTTCAGCTGGTGGTTATGCTGGGCTTCCTGACGTATAGGTGAGGGCCGGAGTATGCACGTATGCGCTGACGTCTGCGCGATGTCGGCCTTCGTGCGCGGCAGTCAGACGCGTTTTCGCGATCGTCCAGAGAACACTGCCGTGTCGGATTGTAGTTTGATGGCCGTTTGTATTGGTCCGGGGTGAAATATGCAAGTTGGGAGCTGGGAAGGAAGACGCTTAGTAATTATCGACTGATCATTCGAGGAATTATTGCGTGGTATCTTGTGTTACTTGCCTTGTGTCTTGTATTCCCTCACTTTCGTTACGCACTAATCTCACTTGTTTTGAAAGTTCACAACGCTTCATTACAACGGTTCCATGGTATTTGTCTGCCTCAACTACTTCCGAACCTTATACTGAAGCCGTTTTTCCGAGTCCACGGCACGTGCTAGTCTGCATGCAGTATGCTTTGTTACATTTGTCTGTTTTGCAGGGACAATAAGCAAGCGGCGGCAAAGAAATTCTACTAGAAACTGCGACCGTCTCGGCCGCCCGACTTCCAGCGTATGGGTCTATTTTTCTACGAGGTCCGCTTGTGTTTTGTTCCCATCCGCCGGGGAGGCCAGAGCGGCCCGCCGGCCGGTCTGTGCCCCCACTTCCAGCTCCCAGCCCCTCTCTCGTCTCCCAGTTACCGAACCGCCAGGCTTGCCTTGCTCTCGCCGGACCAATGTGCAATGCGTCTCCCGCTGACTGGAGCGGGACGTGTGCCCGGCGCCTGGCCGGCCGCCGCTAGCCGGGCCTGCGAGCTGGCTGCGGCCTGACCGCGCTCCCGGGCTGGCGGCGGCCACCCGCCCCGCGTGATAGCTCTCCACTGGCCCCGCACACCGTTCATTCCACCCGGCTCTCCGCGGTCGGCAGAGCCCGCTAGGACGCCGTTCGCGAGGCGCTGTCGTCTTACCCGTCGCGGTCTGCGCCCGCTGTCCTGCTGGAAGTGCAGCGGGCAGGGTGCAGCCCCTGGCCGGCGCGGTCCCGGTCGGCGTAGCCCCTGGCCAGCGCAGTCCCTGACAGGCGCAGTCCCTGGCCGGCGCAGTCCCTGGCCTGCGCGGTCCCTCGCCGACGCGGCCCCTGGCCGGTGCCGGCTACTGGCGATGGATTGTCGGCCGGGCGGCCAGCGGGCCACCGCAGCTTCCACTGCTGTTTTTATTCATGCTGTCGCGGGTGCCACTTTGGTAATTTTTACACGTCGGGGATATCAGGATTCAGGGTTTGTCATGCCGTATGATCGGAGTGCGGGCTGTTCGTTGCGCTGCGGCAATCAGAGTGTTTATTTTAGCGTTACGGAATGGTGGACATGCGCTCGCGAAAATGGATTTCTGGATCGATACTGCATGCCCTTTTTGGAAGTAAGTGTTGGATGTTGTTAATAAAGGTTTCATAGATCATTTTGCGTTTGGGAAGCATTTGTTTGCGGAGGGGAAGCCCTACGTACTGTGTCAGCTGGTTACAGAATGGCGTATCGTAGCTATGCAAACGAAACATTCCCGGATGTTAGGCGACGTAAAAAAACATCAGGTTGTCCGCGGCCTACTCAGATGTCCAAATATTTCTTGCAGCACCACACTACATGCAAGTGGAAACACTGCTGAATCAGCAACACGGGCTCCATGCACATTCAGGCCCCAGAAACGAGCTGTGTGATTGTATGGGTGGTCGGCACACTGGACTCTATTGTGCGCAGCCCATGCTGGGCGCGCGAGCGTGTTTCACGGAATGCTGAACGCCATCGCTGTTCCGAGTTCGACACGGCTTCTGAAAGCGCTGATGGAACGGAAACCCACGACTGTTCACGAATCGAACGGAAACCCTACGACTGCCCATTGACCGAACGGAAGGCCCACGGCCTGCCCACTGACCGAACGGAAGGCCCGCAACTGTTCACTAATCGAACGGACAGCCTACGACTGCCCACTGACCGAGTGGAAGGCCCACGACTGCCCATTGACCAAACGGACAGCCCATGGCTGCCCACTGAACGAACGAAAGACCCACGACTGCCCACTGCCCGGACGGATGGCCCACGACTGTCCACTGGCCGAACGAATAACCCATGACAGCCCACTGACCGAACGGATAGCCCATGACTGCCCACTGACCGAACGGAAGGTCCTCGGCTGCCGACTGACCGAATGGACAGCCCATGCCCTCCCACGGACCGAACGGAAGATCCATGACAGTCCACTGATCAAATGGAGGACCCACAGCTGTCCACTGATGGAATGGAGGACCCATGACTGCCCACTAATTGGATGGAGGGCCCACAACTGTCCACAAATCAAACGGAGGACGCACGGCTATCCACTAATTGAGCAGAGGGCCCACAACTGCCCGCTGATCGAACGGTGGGCCCACGACTGTCCGCTGATCGAACGGAGGACCAATGACTGCCCACGAATGGGGCTTCACGACTGCACACTGATATAACGAAGGGCCCACAACTGTCCTACGAACGAGCGAACGGACCCATGACTGTCTGCTGATCAAAAGGACGGCCCACAGCTGTCCACTAATCGAACGGAGAACCCATATCTGCCTAATGATAGAACGGAAATCCACGACCTCTCACTGATCGAGTGGAGGGTCCACGACTGAGCGATAATTGAACGGAGACCCACGACTGCCCGATAATTGAACAGAGACCCAGGACTTTTCATCTGATCGAACGGAGGGCCAACAACTGGCCACATCTCTGCCGGTTGGCCGCCGGAGGTTAACCGCTGTGATGTTTTTCATCGTTGCCCATCTCAGCCGCTGGAGAGTTATGTATACTTGGTCACAGTTCACTCGGCTCGAGCCGTCCTGTCATGGCCGTTAGCTCCACCATCCGTGCCTCTAGCCACTCCAACTTCACCATTTGGCTGACGCTGCTCTGCCGCCCGTACGCTCATGCAGGCAGCTTGCGACGCAAAAGCTGTATGCACTTGTCCCGTTTGACCGCCATCTGAGCTTCAGTGGATAACGCCATTGGCGTCGGGGCTTCTGTGGATTTCGTAGCGTGTAAGGTGACATGTTGACGTGTTTGCATTGCATGTGATGCGTCGTATTGAAACATCAGAATCCTGACATTCAGCTGTTCGCATCTACGCATCTTTATTTTTGTTGTTTAACCCATGAACGCCCAC